AAAATATGTGTGGGCAGTGCACACCATGGACCACAACACACAGATGGATTTCAGCAGTTGCGGGGTTCTAGTGTTGAAGGTACTATTTCGCTACAAGTTTATGTACTTTGAAGATTAAGCTAATAGTATTTAATTGTAAAGATTATGTATCTAGAAGAACATGTGTTATTATGAAGATAATGTACCAAATCAAGCACACAATTACATTCATATTTCATTTACAGTACGCCGAAGAATTCCTTCTGAGTGGAAACAGATCTGATGTGCGGACAATTCCAAAAGCTGTCAGTGAACAAAGGATACACATAGCCTGTATCTTACTCGAAAATCGCTAAAAAAAACTCTTGTAAAATAAACACAAATATTCCTTACTATATATTATGATCCTTTCTGTTACCATTTGTGAAAATAAAAATAATAAAAAACAGTTTGCTGAAAAATCCTAGATTGAGCGTGATTTTTTTTTTTTTTTTTACAGTATGTGCTGCATTGGGTAACATTTTTACATTCCCTCTGGTTTCAGATGTAAATGTAAAGAACATAAATAAAGTGCTACTCTAAACCTTGAGAGAACAGATATATTAACAGGGATTTTCTGTGTAGCCTCAACTAATGTGCTAGCTCTCTAAATAAAGTGCAAAGTATGTATTTATCGCAATTTCATGCCTATAGTAATGTGCTACCACTCTAAATAGAGTGAGAAGCACGTATTTATTGAGATTTGATGTGTAAAATAATGTTCTACCACCCTGAACACAAATGTCAGATATGGCTATACATTTCCGCTACGGGCAGGAAAAAACTTCAGGTAGGAAAAAACTTTGCTATACATTTCTGCTACCGGCCGATGTACGCATGCACAGTTAACTCGGGTAGCAAAAAACTATAGGTAGGAGAAAACTTCAGAACACCGGCATAGCCATGCCATGTATTAGACTGTGAGTGGCTTCGAATTGTTCACTGAGCTCAGTATAAACTCAGCATCATTCATTTTACCTCTGTCTGATTCTTATGAGAGAACACACACGTAGACACAAAGCCCCCACTGTGTCGCCTTCAATTTCAACTTCTTCTTTCCACTGCCCCCTCCCACCCAGTTACTCCTTCCTTTGCTTATAAATGTCTGCAATAGATATAAACTAGAACAATGAGATTGTAAAAGCCAGGGCATTTTTAGTCTCATTCTTCTTTTTCTTCCATTTTAACCTGTCTTTGCCCCCCACCCAGCCCTCCTCCTCCTCATCCTAATGACCTTTAACTCTCTATCCTCTGCATGGTTTTCTCTTAAATGTCTCTTAAAAGGTATGAGGGAAATTGAGGGGATGGAAGAAGTGGACGAAATAAGGACATAAGAACAAAGAGGGGTAGAGAAAGTTAAAAGCCTTTTTTTGAGGATCAAATCACTAAAAGTTGACAGAAAAACTATTATATCAATGAAGAGTTAAAGAACAAAATCAGCTATAAAGAAGGCAATAAAACAATGATGTGTGTGGAAAAAGAAAACTGATCACCTGTCTCAGGATTCCAAGCAAACAGAATCAACACATGAACATTTGAGAGCCGTCACTGCTTTCTAGTGACCTGTAGTGTAGTGTTTTTATTAAACTGTAAAGTTCTCACCTGACGATAAAGTCAAACTCAGACCCAGCCAGCATCAACACTCCTAATAAGGTAGAGAAGGCTCCATCCAGCACTGGTGCAAACATGTGCTCTAGTGCCAACACTGCCCGCTTATGACGATCCCCTATGGCAGTTAGAAATGCCTGCAGAGCATACAAAAATAGTCATGTCTATGTATCAAGGACAAAATTAAAAAAAACGTAGTAAATTAGCAGTAAATAATAAAATGAGTATTTTGGTAACCCTGTGAGTAAACCACTGTGTATGAAATAAAAAAACGGCAGATTTTTGGCATTGGTATGTTTTATGTACCAGGGCCACATGGACAGTAAACTCCACTCCAATGCCCACTGAGGCGATGAGGATCACCACAGGGACAGCACTGAGCTTGATTCCCATCAGCCCCATGAATCCAAACAGCTCCACAGTCATGAGAGACAGCACCAACACCTAAAAGAGGAAACGTACATTGTATCACAAGGCACTATGGCTGAGTGTACTGTATAAAGAGCACATAGCTCCACATCCAACTCCTGCATTACCTGAAAAGACAGAGCTTACGATTCAAACGAATAAAACTCATTAAAAAAATGTAAGGTAGTCGAGTCAAGTGAATTTTATTTGTACAGCCCCAATTCAGAGAAACATTTTAGCATTTGCTTCAACGACCTTAACAGTTTTTAGATTAATAATAAATAAAATGATCCTCATAAAAAGGTAAATTAAGGTAATAACTGAATGTTTATTCACAATACAAGTGAGAGAGTTTCACAATGTTAAAAACCATAGTAGTGCTGATCAGTGCAGCTGGGAGGTTCAAAGATATCTGTGAGTGAGGAGCAGCAGCAACATCTCTGCTCCATCAGTCCTTTAATGATGATGTCTTCTAGCCTAAATTAAAATGTACTCTACTATTATAAAAACACATCCAGTATTGTGATACTTTTTTGTGTGTGTGTAAAGTGTATATATGAGTAGAGCGGGAAAGAAGCTGGGAATAAATGCCATAATCAGCTGACAGCTATCATGTTACACAGGGCC